TCGCACTAATGGCTGATGCAATCTTATGCACGGATCTACGCGGTATCTTATCACGTCGCGGTTTACGATCTTACGCTTAAATTCCCGTCTTCGCTTTACGCGGGATGAATCTAGAAAAGATTCTACGAGAAACCGGAATTAAACTCGCGTCTTACGTGTCGCGCGGTAACCTCTTAGGGTTAACGTCGGTTATATCTCGAAATTCGCACTTTCGCGAATAAATAAGCCTTTGCACGGCTTAAACAACGGTAATGGTAATTAATCGTCACGAATTTAATCGCTTTTTAGCGATAACTACGCGTTCTGCAATTAATTCAGTCGCACGTTCGTTCCGCACGTCCGTATAGCTCGGCTGCCTCGTAACGACTAAAGTGGAAGATGGCTGCTTCCATGGTGTATTACACCATGGCTGCTTCCACCTTTCGAGTTTCGGGTCTGTTCAAGAACCCTGTCTGTTCAAATTTCCACTCATATCTTTAGTAACTTTTCATTCTGGCCTTTACAAATTTATAATTAGCTTGAATAATTCGGAGATAGTCTCCTGAACATGAAATAATACTGGACTTTCCGCTTTTTATTGATTTTAGCGCGGATAATTAAACTTTGTAGTTGGACAAATTCAGCAACTTGTCCAGATTTGGACAATAATTCTAATGACTCTAAATACTGATAAAACAATTCAAAATAATTCTAAATAATTCACTTTTAGTGAAACAATTGGCCTAGTCGCTGAATTAATTCAAAACAATATGTAATTAACAAAATATCGAGATGCGAGTATGAATGGACCCTAAATAATTAGTAGGTTTCGAAAATAATCTTAAATAATCCAAAATTGGCTCGTTCTGCCTCAAATAATTCTGAAATAATTGCTGAAGCTTCTTTCCAGACTTTTAAGCATGAAATAATTCGTATGTCAAGCTTTTGGTCCTTTATACTGCCTTAGCATACCTTAACGTTGTTTAACGTAACTGGAACATTCTTTCCGTAAGTGTTTTAAATAATTAATTTCGTCTATGAATAATTTGTAAATAATGTATTGGAATTAATTTGCTGGTTTTAACCAGGTTCTATGTTGCTTTAATAATTTGCGTTTGTCTGTCTTTGTTACTCTAATGGAAATATCATGTTTTCTCTTTCTAACTTACAGATTTTGTTCCAATTATTTTAAATGCTTGAAATAATTCAAAATGAAGTGAAATAATTCGGGTTACGTGCCCGTGTGACAAAATAATTATAATAATTAGGCTTTACTAACCTTTAACTCAAATGGTCGCTCTTCGGCGTTTGTTAACAGTTGTTTCTGTTTTCTAGGATCTCCAAATCAATCACAGTGTAAGTTATGGGTAAGTATTGGTTGTATTATTATTTCTATCTCTGGTTTCTCATGTTATATTTATTTAATCTTTTTCCTTTTATTTTAGTTTGTCAACTGAATTGGATTGGATCACCTTTATTTATCTTTCCCATAGGATATTCAGGTAGGTTGAAAGTATTTTTATTAATTAAGAAATATATGAAAGTTTTATTGCATAAATGTAGGTGTGTTAAATAATAATAAAATTGCCTTTATAGACGTTTGAATAATAAAAAAATATATCTATAACGTGTGTTGACTTTTGTCCACCGTGTGTACGTTTTGACCTTTACAAAATGATATAATAATAAAAAAATAATTCTGCACGACATCTAGTCGCTTCAATAAAACAAAATAATTAATTTCCGCATTGAATCTCATTTCGGTTTGCGGGTTGTATTCTAAATTTCCGGGGTTGTAGGCTGACCCTCGGTTTCGCCGTTGTTATCCATGGTGGCTTCCTCGGTGGTTGTTGGGAATGACTTCCTGGCGGCTGGGGTGGTTGTTTGACCCATCGTTGGTTGTTGTGTATCCACCTATAATTAATTTAGCCCTTGTTCTAATTATTTAGCTGTTTGAGAAAATTAGCGGACGGTCGCAAGGTTGTACCCTGGCACCCCCTCGTGGGACGCGGCCTTGCCGTGGCGAGGGGGCTCCTTGGAGTCCTCCCCGTTCCGTTGGAACGGTTTCCCATTGTGCCGGTAGGGGTTGGCGGCCCTGACTTCAAACGCCCGGTGGCACGGCGCCGATAGGGGGAGGTTTGCTCCTTGCCCGTGACATGGTGTGGGGTCTCGACCCCTACTGTCGGTGGGTTTCCTCGTGGGGCCCTCCCCTTCCCTCTT